TACATGGCCCCATCCAGCTGCATGCAGAGGTAAAGTGTTGCAAGTGGTAGGATGGACAGAAAGGATGAGTGAGGGCTTAGAGAGTGCACAGAAAGAGGCCACACAGAGATTACAGGCTCCCATCCTTACAGCTCTGCTTTTTTTTCCTAAGAAGTGGGATTATGTTGCAGTGCTCTTAAACTGCAACTAAATTTGATTTCTGAAAGACCTCCGCTCTCACAGAAGAGGCCGCGTAGACAGGACAAATACAAATGGCTGGACTGAAGCATCGTTTTCTGCCAGATTAAAGCTCATAACAGTGGAGAGCATCAGAGCTGTGTTTGTAGGCTGCAGCTCCCATCAGCTCTTGCAAAATTAATTCAAGTATGACATTTGAAGCAAAATGCTTATTTCCTTCCTTGCTGAAGGAAACTGATCCCAATCCTGCTTTGTGTCTCTATGTCCAGTCTAAACATAGAGGGATTTTTTACCTCTAACACCACTCTCTTCTAGCCATATGGTTACTGATGCCCCCTTCAGGGAAACAGCACAAATGGAAACAATACATGACATAAAAGTAATAACACTGCACACCTAGTTCATTTTGTTGCATCTACTAGCGTCTTCATTTGAAAGGTAATATGAACAGGAGTGTATTGTCTGCCTTGTCACATCATTACATAGCATAAAATGAGAAAATTCATTGTTGCTATGCTGCTGATTATTTCACAGTAAAAAATATTAAGACATCTGTATTTATATTAGGCTACGGATCCTCGTACATATCTCAAATGTATAAAAACCTAAATATCTTTCTTGTATCACCATGATTCTTAACATCATCACTTTAACTGGTGTTAAATAAGGGAATAATCAAGTTGTAATGGCTTTTACCCAGACTTCCATCACTATTTCATGAAATTCTTAAGAGGCCCAAGAATGTTTTATGTAGTTTCAGACAATATTCTAAACAAATATATTCAGTTGTAATTATCTGTAATGATGTATCAGCTGATTGTTCATAAGCCTCTCCTCCAACTGCTGCATCTAAAACCCATCCAAAATGTAAAACAGCAATCATTATCTTCAAACTAATTTGATTACAAATCCATATTCGGGCACTCTGCAGGAAACGCTGCTTGGAGATGAATTGTTTGTAGACAAACCCTGGTCATTTGCCTCTGACTGTTTCTCTAGGGCAGCTGACTGATTTCTGCTTCACAGGATTCATACTCATCACATCAAATATGAGAGAAGTGGGCAAGATGGTGGGGCCATTGTGGGACATCTTGGCCTCCGCAAGCAACTATTAGTGCTCTGTGCACATTTGGTGCCAGGGAGTCTAGGAATGACATCTTCTTCTGGAACATGTGCACTGTTAAAAAGAGTGACAACGGTGCTGGTTTTGTGGGGAATTACTGCAACCTTTCCTTTCTGGTTTTTGAATATAGTTGTACATGACTATCTTGTAGACTGTAACTTACATGCTGTTTTGAAATATGAATCAAGTAGAAGTGCCAGCACCGTGTCATCATTTCCAAAAAGCCACAGGATAAGGCTACAGGTGTAATGAGCTCAGTAGTTGCAAGGCAATACTGTATAAAGGCTTCTCTGAAAACACTGCTCTGCATGTATAAATAGAACCAGATTATCTGAAATATCAGATGGATGAGTTACTGAAGCAGGGGCAGCAGTGTGCAGGGGTCATGTCCAGGGATTCAGCTGGATTCTGGGTGTTTACCAGAAAGAGCTGTAGACAACACTGTCTGAGAGGACACAGAGCTGCTGCTGCTCATGTGGTGTGGCTGAACTGCATACGCTGCTGTTATGGAGATGAGACCAGAAGGAGCGACTCAGCTCAACAAGATACAGTTTGTTTTAAACTGGCTCAGTGCAAAACACCCGATGATATTCATAAATACCCACAGACAAGCCCATAAATGCATTCCCTGAGGAGTTTAAGCAGGGACATTTACATTGTTAACGCTACAGGAGTATTGATGACACCAGTGGTGGGCCGTGCATTTGGTACCTGGGCCTTCAGTGGAGACTTACCCGACTTAATTCACCTCTTAATACCACCACTGTACGTCGCAATTATAGAAACCATCAATGCTATACAAAAACGCAATATAATAAAGTGTGGCATTACAGAGAGAGAGGTATTTCGC